TTGAATTCATTGTAATTGGCTTGTGTCTAAGCCTCCTGAATGCGAGAACCACTGTGCCTACCATGTCTTTCTACTGAATCAAATTCGAGGGTGTAATTTGGTTTTCATGATATTTTCTCTGAGGGCATGAGAAGGCACACAGCTTGTTTTCCCTGGCTTCTCAGGTGACTCTTGCTAACCAGGAGTACGTTCTTTATAGAGTTTCCGCACTTTGGCTGGACTGTGACAGTCCTCTAACTGCAGCAGTTTGGTTCTATCTAGATTCTTGTCTCTCCTAGTAATGGCCACCTGACACTTTTAACTGACTACTCACTGTTACCCCAGCAACCAGAAAACATTCAACCTTCTTCCCCACCCTTCCTCTAAAGTATATTCAGAAGGGACTCTCGCTCTGCCATGTGCACCTCCCCCAGCTGCTGCTCTCTACAGCTCTTCTAGAGTAGATCTTATAAAGAGGACAATTTGTCTCAGTATTCTTGAACCCAAAACTTGAACGCTTTTAGTTCTCACTTTCTTTTCTTCTTCTTCTCCTCCTCCTCCTCCTCCTCCTTCTCTCTCTCTCTCTTTTTTATTTCTTCCAAGACAGGGTCTTTCTGCGTAGCCCTGGCTGTCCTGGAACTCCCTCTGTAGACCACATTGGCCTCTAACTCAGAGACCCAACTGCTTCTGCCTTCCAAGAACAGGCCCAGTTCTCCCTTTTTGTCTAGGGAAGTACAAATTTCCTTTACTTACTTATAAGTGCTCAAAACTGAAGAAGTATGCACTGAATTATTTACAAAATCTGATTTTTATTCAGCTGTAAAGAAACGAATGACAAACAGGGCTACAACTGCTACAAAAGGAGATGCTTAAGGTCTCTGATAAAGAAAGCTTTGCATAAGAGCCATAAATGTGTACTAACTTTGCACCAGCATGAGAAGATACTGGGAACCTTAAATACCATTTGTCTTATGTGTATTTTCTTCATTTACCTTGCAAACTGAAAACAGACCTAGTACCTAAGAAGCAAGTTCTGCTGAGGACACAGAAAGTACTAGTGAACACCGCAACCCAACAACAAGGGGTAGATTACCTAGGAAATAACAACCTGCAGAGTCACAGAGAGAAGCGGTAACTAAGAAAACTGAACTTGGTGATGAACTTGCTCAAGTAGTGATGAAACAGGCTTCACAAAGCAGAGGGAAAGAAAGGAATGGCAGCTATGAAGGTGGAAGGAAGGAAAACGATGTTTTACACAGGAAGAAGACCATAGTGTATTGTTTTTTTTTGAGACAAAGTCTTGCTCTAGCCCTAGTAGCCTGGAACCTGTGCTAATTCTCCTATCTCTGTGCTTCCTTAAATTCTAAAGGTCAACATATAGTCATCCTCCTGGATATTAACCTTCATCAGGCGATGAAAGGAGACAGAGACAGAGACCCACATTGGAGCACCGGACTGAAATCTCAAGGTCCAAATCAGGAGCAGAAGGAGAGAGAGCATGAGCAAGGAACTCAGGACTGCGAGGGGTACACCCACACACTGAGACAATGGGGATGTTCTATCAGGAACTCACCAAGGCCAGCTGGCCCGGGTCTGAAAAAACATGGGACAAAACCGGACTCGCTGAACATAGTGGACAATGAGGACTACTGAGAACTCAAGAACAATGGCAATGGGTTTTTGATCCTACTGCACGTACTGGCTTTGTCGAAGCCTAGGCGGTTTGGATGCTCACCTTACTAGACCTGGAAGGAGGTAGGAGGTCCTTGGACTTCCCACAGGGCAGGGAACCCTGACTGCTCTTTGGGCTGATGAGGGAGGGGGAGTTGATTGGGGGAGAGGGAGGGAAATGGGAGGCGGTGGCGGGGAGGAGGCAGAAATCTTTAATAAATAAATAAATTAATTAAAAAATTCTAAAGGTCAGAACACAGGTCAGTTTGATGGGACAGAATTATTTTCTCACTGGCCGTCACCAAGGGTTAACTCAAGCTAATTCTACCCAGTAGTCCTTTTCATGCTTTGTTATAATCGAGACAGATTCAAACACTCAAGAGAAAACAGCTTGAGTGACCATGAACTTCTCATCTTTCTGTCTCCACCACCAGGTGCTGGGTTATAAGCATGCGCCACCACGTCAGTTTCTAAAGATCCTTTAGTCTAAGACCTGACCAGTATGTTCTAATAAGTCGTGCTTTGTAAAGACAGCTGAAGATTTATGACACTAATTTGATCCATGCCTTTTCTTCAGTGGCTACCGTTTCAACATGAAGCCCTATGACAGGTTAACTTTCTGGGTCGGTCCTCTGTGGTCAGAACAAGTGACTCTCAATCAGACAGCAGTTCCTTAAGAGCTACAAACACCTGCTGGGACTATCTGGTTAACAATCTTGAACCTAGATAAAGAATGGTGGTTATTGGGTGGGATAGGGATAGAGGAGATGGTGGAACAAGAATTCAAAATTTCATCTAGGAGTAAGTTCAGAGATCTACTGCACAACCATCTGTCCTAGCGAGAATGAAGATACTCCTTATTCTTTTCCTCATGTAGTGTGTGCACGGGTGTGAGTGCATGAATATGCATGTGGAGCTCTGAGATCAACACAGGGAGTCTTCCTCACTAGCTTTTTGCTTTATTCCTTGAGGCGGGGTCTTTCAGTGAAATCCAGAGCGTACTAATACAACTAGTCTTGTTAGCTAGTTTGCTACTGGCTCTCTGAGGCTCTGATTATGGAGGGCTGCCACACCTAGCATTTATATGGATTCTGGGGATCTAAACTCCAGGCTTCTTGCTTGCAGGACAAACACTGTACTACTGAGTCAAGACCCCAGTTCAAGAATGAATATATACTAAAGAGACACTCATGTCCTTTCCTTTGGTTATCACACCATTGAAAACAATGTTCTCCAAGGAATTGGAATTTCCCCCAGAAATCTCATATTGCAAGAAAAAAAAAAGGCTGAAATTTGGTGCCAAACAGAGAACTTGTCTCCTGAAAAGAGATTTCACATAGCTCTGACAGTGACAGGAAGACGCACACTTTACTGGGACTACTTTTGTGTACCTCCTGCCTTGTACTTAAGCCTCTCATGTAAAGATCCAAAAGATGGATTGAAGGAAAGGGATATCTTTGGAACCCTGTTCTTCTCAATCTCCCTTCTTTGCTTTCCACTATTACTCGTCTGTTAAATTGGCTCATTGAGGATCTGCAGGGTTTCCAGGGTTCAGGCTCTGACCCTAACAGTTCCAGTAACACAACAATGATTACTGTCAATAACAATAAAATATGGCCAGGAGAAGTATTTTATGTTTCTTTCATCCTCTCCCACAAAACCACGGGGTGATCACTGGAGGGGAGCCAGGAGAGGGTGGAGACCAACGTGGCCGAGGTCGATCCTCTGGGCCCTTATTTGTCTGTAGGACTCTTCCTTCTCCAAGGAAGGTGTGCCCTCTCCAACCCATCACGTCCAACCCTTCCTCCACCAAAGCTCTGGCTGAAGGAGGGAGAATATTGCTTTGTGGAATGGATGCTATACGGCATCCATTTTCTGGACTAACTCAACATTGCTTTAGTTTGGAGAAGGGGACCAAAAAGGAGTCCAAAGTGGAACTGAGATAAATTTGAAAGACCAATCTGAGGATAACTATTCCCTCTTCGATCGAGTTCTGTGAGAACTGAGGTGTCCATTTTAAAGACTTTGACTACCACACATCTACTGCTTACCTGCTGTTGCTATCTTGGGGTCCATAAACCCCCAAGCTCCCCTTTGTAGTACCTACCTCCAGCCCTAGCTTCAAGGTGCTCCTTTGACAGCTTGAAGGTTTGAATGTGTCCCAGATCCTGGGGTAGAAGGCTGTGCTAACTAGGTCCCAACTCTCCCAAGAGAGACCCAGAAGAACTAGGCTATAGGTCTCCTTAGCCACACTTCCCAGCAGTTGGTATCCAGAATGTATTTACAATGAAGACCACCCCTCTGGTGGCCACTGAGGAGTATGCAGAACAGAAGCATGAGGAAGAGGACATTCATGAGTACTATATTAACCTGAAATTCTAACTTTGGTGAAATTAACCTTCACCAAAAAAATTTTAAAAGGTGGGTAATACATGTTTAACTGAGCACATATTTCAAAAAATAATGTTATACATACTGTCTGTTGACCTAAAAATAAATAAAAAATTATAAACCAGCCAGAAATGATATTGGGGACCTAAAGAGATGGCTCAGTTGGTAAAGTGCTGCTGTACAAGTCTGAGGATCCCCAGCCCTATGTAAAAAGCTGGGTGTGGTGGTGTGTGCATGTAATCCCAGCACTGGGAAGGGAGAGCAGGAGGAACCCTGGGGCTCACAGATCAGCCATACTAGCTAAAGTAGTGAGCTTCAGGCCAGCGACAGACACTGACTGAAAAAAAGATAAAGGCTGATGTCTCTTGAGAAATGACATGAAAGGGTGACCTCTGTCCTCCATGTGTACATGCACATATAGCCATGCTTGCTATATACACATCTTCACATTGCAATGCACACACACATGATGGAGGAAGGTCATTGGTTAATTAATAAAGAAACTGCTTGGGCTCATATGTTAAAACATAGGTGGGTGGAGTAAACAGAACAGAATGCTGGGAGGAAGAGGAAGTGAGCTCAGACTCGATAGCTCCCCTCTCCCAGGGGGCAGACGCGATGAAGCTCCGACCCAGGATGGACATAGGCTAGAATCTTCCCGGTAAGCGCACCTTGGGGTGCTACACACATTATTAGAAATGGGCTAGTCCAGGTGAGAGAGTTAGCTGAGAAGAGGCTAGATAGAAATGGGCCAAGCAGTGTTTAAATGAATACAATTTGTGTGTTGTTATTTTGGGGCATAAGCTAGCTGGTGGCCAGGAGCCGGGTGGCAGGAAGAGGCCCGCAGCTCCTACTACACACACATACACACACATAGTACCTAGAACCATGTCCTTACCCCTAAACACTACCCATCCAGACAGGACATGTGCTTGAGCCACATCTTAAGCAAGACCTACCTGCTCCTGGGTCATCTTCTGCAGCTCATTCTCCCAAGCTGCCTGGTCATCATCTGCATTATAAGAAGCTGGTGGAGTGAGTCCACGAAGGATTAAGGGGTCTCGGTCATGGCAGAGGGCTGTCAGGTGTCCAATATACAACTTTAACTTGCTTCTATTTTGGTCAAGTTCTAAGAGGGGCTGGATGATCTGAGGTTGAAAAAAAAAACGAGTAAAGTCAAGGTTAATCTGAAATGAGAAGTTCAAATATTCTTTATGCTTCCCAAACCAAGACAAAGCTCTTCTCAACACGACTGCAATCTTTATAATTATAAAGAGACACAGTGCTATTTACTGAGACATGACGAGGGATTATGGCTAAGCATATTGGCACTAGACGAAGTACTCTGCAGTGAGGCAGGAGACGGACACAGGACTATTATGTATTACATTTTATCTATTTATTTTGATATGGATGCGATTGTCATGGCATGTGTGGGGACAAAGGACAGCTTGTGGGACTCGATTATTTCCTTTCACTATGTGGGTCCTGGGATTGAACTCAGGTCTTCAGGCGTGGTGGTATCTTTAATGTCAAGTCATTTTGCCAGTCCAGACTAGCTTGTTTTTACAAAGATGTTGTTCCTGCTGCCTAAAGTCTTCAGTGACCCCCACAAGCACTCGGTGTACTTTGTTATGAGCAGATTTCAAAAGACTGCTAGTGAAAACTGCTCATCTGAAAGCCTGGGTAACACATTTCACCTAAGTCCTCTACCTCCCAGAATGGAAGAAAAATTCAGTCTCTGGAAAAGGTGCGTGTTGTTCTTGGCTGAGACCTGTGATGAGATAACTCATTACTAAGTCTGTCTCACTCTGGCTGAGTTCCCTTCATTCATTTCTCAGAGCCTATCTATTCTTTCTCTGCAAACAGTGACTGGTAGATCTCTACACAACACCAAGTACCTGACTTACAGCCAAGGCTTGAAATCCTCACTCCTAACACTGGCTCTGCATTTTTCTTAAGAGACCTCCTATAATTTTTTTTTTCCTTTCTGGTTCCCTTTGTCCTTGGATTCTCTTTGGGAGTATATTGAATGATGGCTTCTGTCCCATGTTCCATGTGACAGCTTTGGGGACAAAACTCTGGCCAGGTATTGGCAGTGGGGTCACAGTCCAAGGTGATCAGAAAGATTCAGTCTAAGTCTTGCATTCCAGTATGCAGCTTGAACAGCAAGTGCAAAACTAATGTCAGCCACAGGAGCTGCCGGTCCTTGACAGAGTTCCCAGGGCTTACATCCAGAAATTTGTACCTGTTCCATGCCACTGGCCTGACATTTTTCTATTAACAAGACACCTTTATCATATCTCATGAATAAGGGACTAGATCATTTTCAAATAGAGAGAAACAAGGTCTGTTTCAAATAGAGAGAAACAGCAGAGTGAATGAGTTTGGCATCACTCTAATTTATTCTCTCTCTCTCTCTCTCTCTCTCTCTCTCTCTCTCTCTCTCACACACACACACACACACACACACACCCCTTGTTTAAAGGTAATAACTGAACACTAAAGTGCTGTTGTGGGTAAGGCTCACAGGCTTTCCAAGAGCCATGGTCAGCAGGCTCCTGTAGCAGTTCTGCACCAGCATTTCCCATCTATGACGGGAAATCAAGATAACCAGTCAGAGAAGGAAGATGTCCCAGTCAAAGCAGAGGTTTAGAAAGCAAAGATTTAGATAGTTCTTCACAAACCACACTAATACCTCAAAAAGAATTGTGTTTCATTTCCGACCTCTAATGCATACTCACTGTGGAAAGAATAGAGACTGAGAGAGGCTGGGGCATGGTGGTACATGCCTGTTAATACCAGCATTTAGAAGTCTGAGGAAGTCATGAGTGCATTGGCGACTCTTATGTCAACTTGACAGGGGCAAGAGTTATCTGAAGGGAAGAAGTCTCAACTTAGAAAATAGCTCTATAGAATAAAGCAGTAGGACATTCTCTTAATTAGTGATTGATGGAGAAGGACCTAGCCCATTGTGGGTGGTTCCATTCCTGGGCTGGTGGTCTCGGGTTCTATAAGAAAGCAAGCTGAGCAAAGCCATGGGAGCAAGCCAGTAAGCAGCACTCGTCCACTGGTTTCTACATCAGTTCTTGCCCTCAGGATCCTGCTCCTTTTGAGTTTCTGTCCTGACTTCCTTCAATGATGAATAGTGATGTGGAAGTATAAGCCAATAAGCTTTTTCTTCCACAAATTGCTTTTGGTCATGGTGTGCTGCAGCAACAGAAACCCCAACTTAGACAGGACTCCCACTATAAGCAAGTTGATAAAGGATTGCCATAATGTCATCTGTTCACATACAACTTCAATACATTATGATACTTGATGCAGAACTTGTGATCCTCTTGCTTCAGCTTCCTGAATGCTGGGAGGTCAGCTCTACTAAACTAGGCTCCACGCTGTCCTAAGTCAGGGTTAGACCCGGTTACAACCCTCTGAGAAGTTATCTATGTCCGTATCACAAGAGTCAGATGAAAAGGTGCTTAGTATTACTATAACCTAAATTACTCGCCCTCAGGAAAATAAATTCTATTGTTTGGAAGATGGCTTTTTAAAATTACATTTACTTGTGTGCTCGTGACATGATAACATGATGACATGACAAGGCCAGAGGACAACTTGAGAGGTTAGTTCTCCCCTTCCACCATGTGGGTCAGCAGGCTTGGCGGCAAGTGCCTTTATCTGCTGAACCATTTCTGCTCTTTCAGAAGACTGAAGTGTGGTTCCCAATACTGATGTTAGGAAGCTCACAATTGGCCGTAATTCCAACTTCAGGGGACCTGATGTCCTTGTGTACACACACACACACACACACACACACACACACACACACCCAAAAAACCCACAACAAACAAAAAACAAACAAACAAAACCCCTTAAAAGTTCCTATATATGTGTCAGTCACTCTCAGTCTTCCTGGAAACTTACTTTTATATCTACTGCGAGTCTTCTGTTGCTGCTCACAGTTTTTGAATTGGCTCTAAAATCTGTGTTCTTTTTAGCTGCTGACATCTTCAGAGAAAGAGTTAGCTGTCCGTGTACACGGTGGTTTGAAAATAAATGGCTCCCAAAAGGAGTGGCACTATTAGGAGGTGTGGCCTTGTTGGAGTAGTAGGACCTTGTTGGAGGAAGTATGTGGGGGATGAGCTTTGAGGTTTCCTATGCTCAAGCTACACCAAATGAGACAGACCACTTCCTGTTGCCTGCAAGTCAAGATGTAGGACACCATGTCTGCCTGCAAACAACCATGTCACACCATAATGTTACTGGACCGAATCTCTGAAAATGTGAGTCACCGACATTAAATGGTTTTCCTTTATAAGAGTTGTCGTGGTCCTGGTATCTTTTCATATCAATAGAAATGTTAACTAAGACAATATATTAACCAACTATATATTAGTGGGTGGTTGTGATTCCTTGTTGAACTACTGTCTACTGCCTTTCAGTATAGAATTTATCAGGAAAGTCCCACAATTCACTGACAAGACTAAGACCCCAGGAATACTCCTGGCTCACTGCCATTCTGGAATAGAGAGGCCCAGCCGAGACCTAAATTCTGAAAAGCAATGGAAGCAAGAAAATAACATTCACCAATTTTATGTTTCTTCCCTCTGAGCTATCCTCCTGGTCAATACTGTAGTTATCAGAGAAGTCAAGGATGGAGTGTTAAATTCTTTGCAAAGTTGTGGAGCAATATATTACATTCTCACTTAAAGCAGATCATTTATAAAAGAGTTCTTTAAAAAAGCAGAAAAACTATTCTTGTAGAATAATCTTTTTGTACACTGTGAAGATGTGATGCTTTCATTGGTTTAATAAAGAGCTAAATGGCCAACAGCTAGGCAGGAAAAGGTTAGGTGGGACTCATGGACAGGGAGAGAATGCAGGGAAGAAGAGGAGAGGAGCCAGGAGGTGCAAGGAGAGGGAAGATGAACTTGCCTTGCTAAAGAAAGTTACTGAGCTATGTGATAGAACATAGATTAAAAATATAGGTTAATTTAAGTTGTAAGATCTAGTTAGTAACAAGCCTAAGCTATTGACTAATCATTTATAATTAATACGTTTTCTCTGTGTGGTTTTTTGAAAGCTGGCTGGTAGAGCAGAAGATTATGTATACACTCTGTACTATTTTTATTAAATTGATCAGATATATTGCCTATCAAATCATAATTAATGAAAGGAAAAAATTAATTCAGTTTAGCACTTAGTGAATGCCTGAGTGGTATGTTGTATTCTAGCCAATGGGAATATATGATGATGTGGTTCTACTGTTTATTAAAAGAACTTATGAGATGAGTGATTAATGTTTGGGTAAATATAACAGTTGAACTATATAATAGATTCATCTTTGTTTTAGCCTTTAGTTTTGTAACTGATGTCAAGAACTCTTAGATTGCTAAATAAATCATCTTGCCTTGGTAGAGATTTAGTCTGACTTAGTCTTCAAATATGTTTATGAAATCCAACAAGCTTTTTATTTTTAATCCTCTGGGATGCAACCTTTGAAACAATGTGCCTTGCCGTCTGAAGCACAAGCCAAATGATTAATGGATTCCCTAAACATTGGTGTTGTAGTCATTCCTTAGCTAATCCTAACAAATAGAAAAACAAGAAAGTTTAGAATAACCCTCACTTTATACATTTTTTACGAGAAATATATTGGACAGAAGAATATGCCGGCAAGTTCAGACTGCACTTGAACTTAGCTGAAAGGACACTACAGTCACTTATATCTAAAGTTAAGTCAATAAACTCTTAACATTTCAAAATACAAAAATAAAAAAGGCTAACACAACAGAAATTAAAGTAAGAAATCCCAGAGCCCAAGTCCCAGCCCTCACTTCATAATACTTTCCATCTGCATCTGGTTGATTCTCTCACAATTACACACTGTGACCATCATGCATTTACTATCCATAACAATTTTAAAAAATCTCCCAGGAACACTTAAATTATGAGATAAATCCCTTTGTCTCAATTTGATGCTTACTATGATAAAGGTGAGAAATTCCCAGAATGTTTATCCTACTATGAATGTTTACCAAGGACTCAGGTTATTAGCTTTGGCTACACAGGGCCCTTTCTGCCCTCAGAACCTTTGGGAATGACCTAGTATTGCCATGTGTTTAATTAATAAGAGACATTCCACCAC